ATCTTGTTTGTATTAGTTAAGATATTATATTATTTAAGATTTGTTTTAGTTATACTTTGAAATATTATAATTGATTAATTTTTCAAGATGTCATTTTTGGTCATTTTATATTCTTATCAGCTAGTATTTGCCAAACATGATTTGTTCATCAGCTAGCTTATCAGCTAGTTTGCCAAACATAGCCTAATCCTTGTGGTTCATAAAAATAAGGTTTTACTATTTAAAGATGCTCTTTTTTTGTGAAATATGGATCCATATTTAGGTCATGTTTGACAACCATAAGCTAGCTTATTTTGAGCTTATTGAAAAAACCGCATTCGGTTAGACGTTAGCTATGTTGTTATAACAGTCAAAATATGAAATCGCAGTCAAGATTGTGGTTTGAAAGTCAATTTTCACATAAACAAATAACTAAATAATTGACTAATGAAGTCTTTAATTTGTTGGACTAAAATAAACCCATGCCAAGTCCAAATTCCAAATAAAATCCGACAAAAGTTGCTTAACACCAAAACAACCCATCTACAGATAGCGTATGCGTAAGCTATTTAGTGTTCAAAATGCGGTCATTTAGTGGTCAGTAGCGCCGCTAATTGAGGGACCGCTTTATGACCACCACTATTTGCCCAATGACCGCTAGCCACTATAGCTGCGCAATTAAAAACTAGGACATAAGCTAGTTTTTTGGAACGCTACTTGAAGCTCCCGGGGCTTTTTTGCCACTTTTTTCCAAGTATGCCATTTATATTTTTCCAATTAAGTTTCTTAACATGTCCTTTTAGGTCATTTTACATTGTCATCTAGCTTATAAGCCAGTTTTTAAGAAACATGACTAGTTTATTAGGTAACAACTAGCTTTTAGTCAGTTCCGTCTTGTCTGGTCCAAATCATGTCTGCATACCAAAGACTACCTAACGGCCATAACCCGCATGAATGTTTTTGAGGCACTGTTTCAGCTCTGGTTTTTGGCCTATTTGAGTGTTCTTTTCAACCCTAATTCGATTGTCTTCCATTAGTTTATGAATTGATGTGAAAAGCCTATATTCAGCATTTGTTCTTATTGAAGGTTTACTTCTCTGTTAGGTATGGCGGGTCTGGCTGTAACTTATGGCCTGCAACTGAATGCTCGTTTATCACGGTGGATACTTAGCTTTTGCAAGCTTGAAAACAAGATTATTTCCATAGAGAGAATTCATCAATATTGCCACATTCCTAGTGAAGCCCCTCCTATCATCGAAGGAAGTCGTCCCCCGCCCTCATGGCCCGAAGAAGGAAAAATTGAAATTACAGATTTGAAGGTATTTATCACAATATTCGACAAGGGGAAGGTTCAAATGAGAACCATAAATATTTTGAGAACCGAGAGAACCAGGATATGTGTTGATGCATATATATTTAGACTCATGTTTAGGGGAAAACCACAAAAAGTAAGAAAACTAAGGAACACCTAATAACCAGTCATTTGTCCTGTATGCACATGTGCATAAAAGTAATTGAAAATGTTTCTTGGTTTCTATGCACGTGTGCGTTTTATGCACATGTGCATACCAGACCAATGGATGGTTATTATTGTATTCCTCAGTTTTCCCTTTTTTGTAGTTTTACCCTGGACCCAACCCTATATATATACACAATACATACATATATGAATTTCAGTGAGTATATGCACCAATGCATATGTATTTGCATATATGGTATATATACATTGATAAACCAAACCAAACGATCCCGGTTTAYCCCACCCAGTAGTGGGGTCTTAGGTCTACTCGATATATACATTGATGGATATACTAATTGACAAATACATATTTTGATGATGTATATGCACTACTGCATATACTGGTTGTCACAGTTTTCAAAATACTTTGGTTCTAATTCATGTCATATTTTAGCTTTGCCTCTAGATTTTGTGACATGCCATACTTGTTATCACATACTAATTTTAATAACTATACCTTAAACAACCATAATTTCTTGAATCTTTGAAGGAAAGACCCTTTCTTTTCTAGATGTGTTTTTTATATGCTTCCCTTGATCCAAAAACAATAAAATATCAATCTTTTCTGAAAAAATGTTATATTTCATAGGTTCGTTATAAGGAAAATCTTCCTGTGGTGCTCCGTGGCGTGACATGCGAATTTCCAGGAGGGAAGAAGATTGGGATCGTTGGACGTACAGGAAGTGGTAAATCGACTTTGATTCAGGCACTGTTTCGACTCATTGAACCAGAAAGTGGCCGAATTATTATAGATAATATTGATATTTCATCCATTGGTCTACATGATCTACGTGGCCGGCTTAGTATCATTCCGCAAGATCCTACCTTATTTGAAGGGACCATCAGGGGCAACCTTGATCCCCTTGAAGAACATTCGGATCAAGAAATCTGGGAGGTTAGATATTTACTTTCGACTTTTTGGATTTTTAGGATATTGATGTTATAGATTATTGGCAACATATTCAAGAGTTCGAGTCTGCATACATCTTTGGGTGTGTTTGTTAGCAGCTTAATGAGCTTAATGGGACACAACTTATTCGGTCAGCTATACGTGACTGTTTGATAGTGTCTTATTGATATAGATAGTGGCTTATTCAATAAGCTTCTCAGGGGAGCTTTATGCAGAAAGTCAAGTTTTTTCTAAACCTGCCCCTCCCAATTACAACACATGCTCCTTTCATCTATATGAAAAAACTGTTCCAAACAAAAATCTTTCCAATCTATACAGACAAATTAATCAACACAGACAGTGTATCCATATATGACTTAATAGAAAACCAACCAAACATCCCCTAACTATCCCTAGACCCCACCTCAGGTGGATTAATGTGGGATATACTGGGTTGTTTCGTATGGTTCATATTCATGGGTTATAAGATGTACTCCTTCCGTCCCGTGAAAATTGCAACAGTTGACTTGCCATATTCTTGTTTGACTATTTCTCAAAAATCTAATATACCGTTCAACAACAAAAAAAAGCTTTGGAGTCTCGTAGGCCCAAATCAATACCATCAATTTGTATGTTACTATGATGATGGGCAAATAGGTAATTTAACGTGAAAAAGGAAATATTGCAGTTTCCATGGTGGTGGTGGTGGGGTGTATGTGAATCTTGATCTTATGAACAAGAAACCTATTGCTTCTGCCTTCTGCTAATACTTTGAACAATTACAAACCGAGAAAATGTTAAATGGTTCCAATTCAAATTGCTTTTATGTTACAAAATGCTGCTAACTGAACCGGATTCTACATGAATTTACTTCGAGGATCAAACACTTTCACATGGAATAAACACATGTTTGTTATGAATAGGCACTCGATAAATCTCAACTTGGAGATACAGTTCGCGAGAAGGAGCAAAAGCTCGATGCACCAGGTATGTTTTACATGATCTTTTGGACTTGAATCTAAAAGCTTTAATTTTGATGCCATTTTCAAGCAAGAAAATGGAAAAAAAAATGAGAATCTTGGACTTCTGTTCAGTTGGGTATGCGGTGATTTGAATTCTTGTTGTGGAATTCTTGCAGTTTTAGAAAATGGCGATAATTGGAGTGTGGGTCAACGACAGCTTGTTTCACTTGGCAGGGCCTTGCTGAAACAGGCTCGAATCTTGGTGCTTGATGAAGCTACTGCTTCAGTTGATTCAGCCACCGATAATCTAATCCAGAAGATCATCCGTCAAGAATTTAAGGACTGTACTGTCTGTACCATTGCTCACCGAATCCCTACTGTCATCGACAGTGATCTGGTCCTTGTTCTTAGTGATGGTACGTATTATTAGCACACCTGAAATATACACTGTTGTTTCATATATGAAATAGATAGAATTGGTTCACATGTGAAGCAAAACATGTTCATAACGACAACACGTTTCATATATGAAACGTACACACCCATAAACAATAATACCTTCTTGGTTGATTTCGCTAGTCTCAACATTTTTGTGGTTCTCATTTGATTTCGCCCCCATTATTTCCGTGGTTCATCAGTTTGCATACATCCTAGATCGTTGCTAGAATTCTTATTAGAAGAAGATAATGGTCGCCCCCATTTATAAGAAACCTACAAACTATAAGAAACAATGATAGATTCAAAATTTCCAATTAGGGTGTGGACTAACATTACATTTTTCTTAATTTTTCTACTTTGTAAAGCACTACAAAGTTTTTAGCAGGCCACATAGATCCAGCCCTGTGAGGAGGATAGAGTGTGTGACAATCGAGGGGTAAAGGGGGAGGGGTAGGCTGAGGAGGATGTGGGATAATTAATTGAGGTCGTACAAGACCGACTTTAGGTAATTTTTTAGGACATGACCTTTGATAGAAGTTCGTGGAGACGGATCAGGGTAGCAGACTAGGGGTGTGGATATGTTGATATAGCATAGACAGGAAGAAAAAGGAATTGAAGGGGGGGGGGGGATAAGGTTAGGGAATCATATTTGTCTTTTATGTTTTTCTATTTTTTTGCACACTTTTCACAAGTCAGGGGTCTTCACGGAAACAACCACTCTACTCTTTGAGATAGAGGTCAACATACATCTTACCCCTCCCAGACCTCACCAGGTGGGATATATTCAGCCAGTTTGGTTTAGAGATCTGCCCCCAATAAGACAAACTAATGATCTTCTCACTGTCAAGATAGCCATTTTTGACTCCTTTAGATCCGTAGTCTTCATGTTCAACACATCTTGTACTCCCTCCGTCTCAAAATAAATGTCAACAATGAAAAAGGCACAGTTTCATAAATGTGTAATGAAAATGACAATTTTACCCTTAACAAATAGAGGGAGTAATGGATTTCTTCGTCTCATAATTAAGGGTAGGATTGGAAAGTAGCTGCTTACTTTTGAAAATGGGCACTTGTTATGGCAAACTAAAATAGAAACGCGGACAGTTATTTTGGGATGAGGAAGTATTATGTGCTTTTACGCTTTAAGAAGTTGCTTTCTTGATCAAGAAAACTCGTTAGGATTTGGAGTTTATATTGGTTTTTATGTGGTTCTTGTAGGGCAAGTTGCAGAATTTGATTCTCCAATTCGACTATTAGAAGATAAGTCATCCATGTTCTATAAGTTGGTGACGGAATACTCATCTAGATCAAGTGGCATCCCGGATTTCTGATACAAATGGCATGCACAAAAAGACACCCTTCCATGAAGAACCGAAGAAGTGGGACCCACGAAAACACGTGCAGGAATCAAAACTTGAGCCTACTTCTGTTTCTCGCGCTTAATATTGATCAAACTGGTGCCAAAAGAGGTACATGCCACAAACAGGTACACCCCCCATGAGCAAATTCACTATGAATCTTGTGATGCACATGTTGTTGACATATTTTGTAACATAAATAATCTGGGACCCGGAAGAAAGTCGGAATTTTTTTGGTAATAATTAGTGAAAACGAGCAACGGTTAACATCTTCTTTCTATCAAATGCAATAAATCAGGTTCTTTTTTAGGATGATTATTGTTAAAGTTCTTTAGGATTGTTCTTCAGAATGGTGTGTTCTGATGAAGTTTCAGTGATCATCAAATGCTTTCTAATGATTTTTTTGACTTTTGGAAAGTTGTCTCCGACCGAGAATTTGATTGAAGCGATATCCATTCATCGTTAAAAGTGGTCGGTTTTCGGTCGTTTTGTTTTGTTTGTATGTAAATACGTCGATGGCATTTGCTTGCGGATAGCGCGATAATTGAGTAGTTTTTGTTAGAGATATGAACAGTTTTGACTTTTATTTGAATGTGGTTTTACACAATGAATAACATTGGACTTGCATTGTTGACTTTTATATATTTGGTTGTTTTTCTATCAAGTCCTGTATGAGTAGAGCCTTATGTGTGGATTAATCTGTCTGTATAGATTCAAAAGGTTTTTGTTTAAGAGAGTTTTTCATAGATGGAAGTAATGCATTTCTTGATTTGGAGGGGCATGTTTGCAAAAAAACTTGACTTTCTGCATAAAGCTCCCTCTATAAGCTTACTGAATAAGCCATTTTTTATATCATTAAGCCACTACCAAACAGTCATGTATAACTAACCGAATAAGTTGTGAGTCACATTAAGCTAATTAAGTGTTGGGGTGATTTAAAGATTGTTTTTTCCAAGATGTGTTAATGGGTTTAAAGTTATTTTCGAAGTCTCGAAATTGATGCTTTATATAATTGTTAATTATAAAATTTAAATAGTTGTCATTGAAATATACTCAGTTAACGTTAAATGCATACTCCGTATGCTTTTATGAATTACGATAATAAGTAAATAATTAGTTATGTACTTATACGTTTGTTTGACGTTCTTTTTATTGCATGTTATAAGAAACTTGTTTTTTGAAAGAAAAGAACACATCGTTGTAAAACGTGTGACGTCTTAATCCGACAATTTCATCAAATTAGTTGCCAACAAGAAGAAAAGTTTTCGGGTCATCTTAATCCGACCATGATTTACACTACCATTTAACAATCATATATCACCACCGAAAATTGACAACCACCATCCCGCTCGTCGCTCAACCGTCATCACCTGAAAACATCACTGCCGAGACAAACACCACCAACAACGAGTAATTTGACCAAAATGTCCCTAAAACTACCTTAGGGGACTGTTTACCAAATTTTCTATTAAGTCTTGTATGGATAGATACAATGGAGAAGCAATCAATTTGGAGAAGTAGTTACCTATGGAGAAGAGAAATCGTGAATGGGAAGAAGAGATCGGCTAATGAAGAATAGATGGGCTAGGGTTCTTTTCTCAAATGAAAGGCGTGTTTTATTACAAGGGTAGGATTGTCCTTTTTTCGGCTGAATGTGGGTAAGAGGGGTTTTTGTTTTGTACGAATAAGCCTATATTTGTGTGAATAAGCCGCAAGTAAACACACCGTTTTGGCTGTGCGAATAAACCCATTTWTTCATTAAGCTCATTAAGTCCTAAGTAAACACACCCTAGTGYCACATATTATCATTGCTTAAGCCCAATAATATGCTCATACTTTTATGATTTTATTCATTTCAATTTTAATTGAATTAGTTTACATGAATGGCTTATTGGAGATAGAGAACGAAAGAAAAAACACAGAAAGAATGTCAACACATAGCGGATTTTTTTGATTCATTTATATAAAAACGGGTCGATTGGATATAAATTATATCTCTTTTCTACAACATAAGTTTGTGTTTTTGATTGTGTTTCATAAAAACTGCGAAAAGGATTTATAAAATGGGAGTCGTTCAATTCCAAACATGYTGTTTTTCTCCATATAACCTCTTTAGTGGTTTTTGTGCTCGTCTTCACTTCAGATCTGCCTCTTGRCCTTTTAATTTTGTGCAATTTCTTGACTTTCTACCCTTTTTTTGGTTGTTTGGTTGTTTTTTGGGTGCTCGACTGATACTTTTAGCCTTTTCTGGCCCCTTTCTTAACTGCATCTTGCAGTTGTTTTTGTTGAAGGGTTTTTTTTATCTATTATATACCGTTTTGTATTTTTACTAATAAATTGTCTTTCAATATATATATATATATATATATATATAATCAAATGAGAACTAAGTAATTTGTGGTAACTGTGAGGTCCAATATGAGCAAATCATTTTAGATAATTAATGTTATTTATTAAAATAAAATAAAGGGTAAATTAGTAATTTGCGTTGATTATTCAATTTACTTTAATTAGTTTAATATTCCAATATATGTATACACACACACACAGACACACATGGACCAAATCCGGTGGCCTTCTCCGACACCCACCACCACTCCGGTGACCTCCTCCTGTCATCTTGTCTGACCAAGACGCTGTCTTCGGTGATCGACCACTGAGTACCAACCTGTGAACATTCCCGACAACTAGTCCCATCTCCCTGTGACCCCCTCACTACCTATCTTCTTTCCCCCCATCTCCGTCACAGTTGGTATCGCAGTGGTACCACAGTTGGTATCGCAGTGGTACCACAGTTGGTATCACAGTGGTATTACAATTGGTATCACAGTGGTCTCAAAGTTTACTTGGTGTGTTTTGGGTATCACATAGTATGTATTTTGGGTATCACATTGTATATCTTRGTGTATTTTGGATATCACATGATGTTCGTTGAAAGCCGGAGGTTGGAGAGACGAGAGATAAAAAATTTAATATACCTAAAATGTTCTTTAATTATAATCTTAAGTTAAATTACCAAAAATATTAGTTTCATAATTTATCCATTAATTTGTGATTGAGATTGGATCTTACTGTTATTATAAACTAATCAATTCCCGTTTGAATAGACCCAAATATATATWGAGAGAAATAGAAGAATAATATAATAAGTTTATAAATACAAATATWTTTTTTTATAGAATTAAAAGAATATCGAAAATAGAAGTTTTAGCTTTGACTTTTAAAAGTCAAAATTAGCTTCAAATATTTAGGGTAGGAGTCCTAATAAAAAGGTTAGAACTGAGGTGGCTTTTTATACACACAGGCGCAAGTTAGAACAGCCCTCTGGGTTTTTTCATCGTATCACAAAATCTCTCCCCTCTTTGGATTGGGAACGATGCAGACGATTTCGAGGAGATTAGCTCGTGAATCCGTTTACTGTCGGCCGGCGATTTACTCGCTTTACCCTACTTCCGATCAGTGTAATCTATTTTATTTAGTTTCATCAATGTATCCATTTCTAGGGTTTGATTCAACTGGATTTSCAGATTTTGTTTTAAATTTGATTTGAACTGATGTAATGCAGATTATGGTGCTTATGATCGGCGATACGCTTCTACGCTTGCCACCAAAGGTGTGGGGCATTTGGTCCGAAAGGGTACTGGTGGAAGATCATCCGTTAGGTATTCCTGTTTCTGTTTTTATTCGTTAAAAGTTTTAATCTTCTTAGTCTTTGACTTTAGTATACTTGGTTTTGAAATTAGCGGGATTTTGGAGATTTGTGAATCTGCAATGACAGTTTTGGCTCACTAGTCACTGGCACGATTTGGTTTGCTAGCCCATAATTGGTTGAACAGTATGAAATCATGTAAAAGATACCTATTCCAATTGCAAAAAAGCTACACCTTGATTGATGTCAAAGCTATTACTCTTCAAATTCAAAATGGAAGTTTGCCAATGCAATACCTGTTGCCAATGTAATACACTAATACTGATGTTATACTCTTCTAAATGGTTGCCATAAAGTAAGACTTTGCTGGCATTTCGCTTTTCTTGTGTAAGTTCATAGTCCATCATCTTTGAAGTTGAAACATAATCCATTTGACATTYAAGTCAAATTACATATTCTTTCTTTCTGAAATGACAAAGATTCATGTCTTCTTTAAACAGTTTGGTGCACTTCTTTTGTAAATTATCATCAATTTTAGTTATTGGTTATCATCTCATTTAATTACTAGACAGTCTTGACTTATCTGCTTAGCATCGTGTAATTGTACTTCTTTTTGGCAATACTTTGTAAAAGTCTGAAACTGAAACACCCTAAAATGGTGAAGAAAAGTGAAAATTTGTACTTTGAAGATGACACAAAGGTATGCATCGGATGTGAAATTTAAATGATCTCATATTGAGTTGCAACGGATAAATKCCTTCGTGATTTTGAACTGATGATGCACATTCTGGTTTTAGATGCGTGTCTGTATAAGTAGTTTGGTGTAAAAACGGGTTACATTTTAGTGTCCTACAACGAGGACTTAAGATGGTGGAGCCAGTTAATTTCCGTGTATGTCCTCACTCCTCCATCACAGAGATCATATTAATGCGTTTGCTATTTTCTTGATTGGCAGTGGCATAGTTGCTACAGTATTTGGAGCTACCGGTTTCCTTGGGCGTTACTTGGTGCAAGAGCTTGGTTAGTGGAAGTTWAAACTTCGGTTTCCTTCCTTTGAAGATTATAGGAACGCTTGTGTTGAAGTTGTGTAATCTGAGAAAATCAGATAATGCTAAAAACTAGTATATCGCAGAGCCATCTTACATTTATTTAGACTGGGAGTTCTTATTGAGCGAGGGAGAAAGCTGTAATCTGAAATTACTTTTGACAAATCGTGTTTTGTGATGCATACTGATATTTATTTTGAATTTATCTGCAGCTAAAATGGGTTCTCAAGTGCTGGTACCTTTTAGAGGTTCTGAGGATTCACCTCGTCATCTCAAACTGATGGGTGATTTGGGACAGGTAACTTAGAACATTGATTGTTGTTCAAAGTTTTTTTTGGTGCTAGAGAACTTGTCATTGCTTGCTTATGCCAAGCATTCCTTTATAACTACCACAGATTGTTCCCATGAAATATAATCCAAGAGATGAAAACTCAATTAAGGCGGTCATGGCCAAGGCAAATGTTGTTATCAATCTCATAGGTACATGGTTAATGTCTTCTTTTGGTGGGTTTCATATGGAGGCTTAGAAGCTTGTTTGACATAGTAATGGCATTTTTCCAGGAAGGGAATATGAAACTAGAAATTATAGCTTCGAGGAAGTGAACCATCACATGGCTGCACAACTTGCAAAGGTAAGTTTGTGCATCTAGTTCCCCACAGTCTTATTGTGACTATTTTTGTTTGTGTTCTTGTTTCTATCTTTTTTGCTGTGACATTTTTTTTACCTATCTCTAGCCCTTTGGATTGACTTAATATGGAGATACTGTTGCCTAACATGGTATGTCATTTGCAGATATCCAAAGAACATGGTGGAATTATGAGATTTATACAAGTTTCTTGTTTAGGAGCCTCTCAATCATCTCCATCCAAAATGCTCCAAGCTAAAGCTGCTGCGGAGAAATCCATCTTAAGTGAACTGCCTGAGGTGATTCACATATTTGATTTGTGTAATAAAAGACGGCTCTGCTGGTTGACTGAACATGCCTCGGGAATTATCTTCAATCTTCTAATGTATCTTATTACTTTGAGCTTGTTGGATTCACTATAATCAGGTTTACTTGTTTGAYCTAGGTTGACAATACTCTATTTCTGCTATGCCTTTAGGGTCAGTTGAGCTGTAATTGCTTGTATGGTTCAACAGTGCTGGAGAAAAAATGAGGGATCATTGGCAATTCCATTCATTTTGATGGCATTTCTAGGATCTTAGCAAAGTTTACTCTAAAAATGTTAACCAAATTTGTACAGATTATAATAGCAGAAATATAATAGACATTTACGGCACGCAAACTAAGTAGTTAACTATTAGCTGAGTTGTATTTTTCAATCATTGGGAACTAATGATTTGCTTGTATTCAGGCCACAATACTGAGACCGGCAGTGATGGTTGGTACAGAAGATCGTATCCTGAATCCATGGGCTCACTTTACAAAGAAATATAACTTTCTTCCGCTTGTCGGCGGTGGAGCTACCAAGTATGACTTAATTTTTCTCCCATCAACTTTTAAATATAATCCTAACACATGAAAAGCAACTTAATTGAATGTTCTAATTAATTATTTTMTAAACAATTTGGTATATATTTGTTGTTTTACAGGATTCAACCTGTATATGTTGCTGATGTTGCTTCTGCAGTTGTTGCGGCTTTGAAAGATGATGGTAGCAGTATGGGAAAACTATATGAACTTGGTGGACCAGATGTTTATACGCTGCATCAATTGGTGATTCTAAGCTCTTTACTCTTTCCATGTTTTGTTGGAACAACTTTTTCTTCCGTCCCATGCAAATTAAGTTTTGTATAATCTGTTGAATTAAGATTTCATTATATCTTTGTTTTGCAGGCTGAACTTATGTACGAAATGATTCGAGAATGGCCTCATTATGTTAACGTTCCTTTCCCTATTGCTAAGGTATTTGAATTACATTTATCACATTATGGTTGTCCATGTAATTGCGAATCAAGTGACCTGTGTTTGTTATTTGCGTGCCTTTGATCTTTCTTTGTAAAGCCAACTATTACATAATCCATCCACCATAAAACTCCATATTGCAAGTATAAGGAAATAAAACTTGTGTGCTCCATTTTACTATATTAATATTTCATACCTAACCGAGGAATTTAACCAAGTGGTAGCAATTATATTGAAATCACCACCGAGTTCTCGATGATTATATACTGTATAGCCTCTTGAAGGATACTATGTTGTGATGCATAAATGCTGAGGACAACTGTGGCAAATCTAATCATTATAATTTTACCCCCTCCCCCTCCCTCTCCCCCAACAAATACGTAATGAATAAAGTTGTTCCCTCAATCAATTCTTTTGTGAGGATGACATTTATTCCTATCTTTCTGCTTTCTACAAACAATGACAGATTCAGATGTCCAAATTAATTGCGACTTGATGTCGAGCAATCCTTGAATTTTTTCCCAGGACTGCATCAAAGGGATCCTTTTTCTTCATGTTAAGTATATTATGGTCCAATTAAGGATTAGAACAATCTGTTAGCAGTTTCGTATGAGTTTGTCTTGTTCATTAGGAAATAATGGGTATTATCTTAGTGCTGTTTGAATTARATGTTTCGGTATGTGAGCCACCAAATGTCTTTTAGTGTCTCTTTTGGTAAATGTAAGCATGCTGAAGGGTATGATGATGGGTATTTGCCGGAGGTATATTGAGCTGATCCCTTGCCAACTGTTGTTGGAGTGCCAAGTCGATGTGATGCATAGTAGATTGTCAAAGTTTATTGTATCTTTCTTTCTTGCCTTAAATTATTTTTTTCAAACTTTTTGGTCTAACTTTTAGCYCTTTTGCACACTTTTCACAAGCGAGGGTCTTCACGGAAAAAACCGATCCACCCTTTGGGGTAAAGGTCAGGTTTGCGTACATCATAYCCTTACCCCACCATCTCGTGGGATGTACTGGGCGCCTTTGGCTTGGTTTATATATGGAATAGCGACTAGTCTCATTTTATTCAGGTCTGCCTGCCAAGAATAAACTTGGAGCTTCACTCATCTACTTTTTGAGCCATTTTGGTTTAATATAGTTGGCCTYCTTCCTATTTACAACTGTAATCTTCATTTAGTTGTTGAAATTACTTGATGTAATTTTTATTTTATGTCAATTTATCKCAGGCAATCTCAAGTCCTCGAGAACTATTGCTGAATAAAGTTCCTTTCCCATTGCCAACACCAAGCATCTTCAATCTGGATGTAATTAATGCTCTTTCCTCAGATACAATCGTCTCAGAAGATGGTTAGTGTTTCAATCTCGACAATCCTTGTGGCTTGCATCATCGTTTGTTGTTTCTTTTACACTGTGTTCTCGAAACCCAGTTTGGAATAAAAGAAAGGAAAGGAAAGAGAGGAGAGAAAATCCAGAAGGAGTCTGTGAGMTTTTACGACAAAAATACCATCATAAGGAAAAGTGAGAAAAACAAATATAAAGGGTATATTCGTAAAATTGACATCTTTCCTTTCCTTTCCTTTCTCTTCAGTTCAAGAACATGAAAAATTGTTTACTTTCCWTTCTTTTTCCTCCATTTCTTTTTATTTTTTCCCAAATTCGAGAACGGAATTTTATTCATTACTGCTTCCTGATCTATAATCTGTCTGTCTTTGCAGCTCTAACGTTCAATGATCTTGGCATCGTGCCACATAAGGTGAAGGGATACCCTATTGAGTTTCTTATCCAGTATCGCAAGGGTGGTCCCAATTATGGTTCTACAGTCAGCGAACGAGTGACTCCAGAATCGTATCCTTGAGTTTCTTGGATCTTTAAATCAGTAAAAAATTGGTGCAAGATCCAACTGGTAGCTCGGATAGAGGTATGTCCTACACTTCTGTTTCCTTCTATTTATGTGTACATTTCATGACTTGACCAATTATTCATACTTCTTCCATCCCATGAAAATGACAAGGGTTTGATTCAACACATAGTTTATGAGAAGTATATGGCCATCAACCAATTGTTTAAGGGTAAAATGCATCAAAATGTAACAAAGTTTGCCTTATTTAGCGTAAAGATGAAGTTCTTTTTTTCAATTAACGCAAGAAATATTCAATTATTCATATTTCATACCCATTTTACCTGATAAATGTTTGTCAGCCTACATCCGTTGATTTTGATGTGACGTCACATAATTAAGGATTACAATATACATGTCACCTGCAACAAGCCTTACCGCTTAAAACAGGTATGAAACATGAATAATTGAACGTTTGTTACAATAATCGAGAAAATAGTATTGTTGTACTAAATAGGAACTAGGGGGCAGCTTACCAAACACTAACCGGGTAAGAGTCACCACCCTCACATACCTTACCGGGTAAGATTCTCGGCCATCAAAATGGTATATTAAAAAATTGTTGGTAAGYGCTAACCAGGCAAGAGTCACAACCCTCACTGAGCCACCACCCTCACTTACCAGGTAAGATTMTTGGTTCTTACCATGCTCACCGGATAGACTGAGTCGCCCAGTTAGCATTTGGTAAACGGCCCATAAGACAAACTTGGTTATGTTTTGATGCATTTTGGTCATTGTCTTAAATACCCTTTACCAATGACCAACATAGAGGAATCTCTGAAACCTAAATCAATAAGAATGGACAAGTAATTAAGGGGAAGATGCAATTCTCATGGGAAGGAGGAAGTAAATGGTAGAAAGCAAAGTTCTGGAACTAATATTTGTAGCAATCAGGTTTCCAGGTGCATTTTCTTTTCCCCAAGACCAATTAGGGAGGAATAAAAAAGGTTTCAACTCTTTTTTTCTTGAACAATGGCATGATGATTTGTATAATTCCGATTTCCGAATCTTATTTTTCTCCATTTTCGTGTTAAATTTAGAAAYACGGAATTTGTTTCGGCTTCTCAGCCTTGAGAATAACATACATGTTTTTTGAAGACTCTTTTTTTGCTTCATGTTAGTTTAGTTTGGGTCTTAATGTAGATCTAAATCTGATCTCATCCAATCCATTTTTATACAAAGTTTTTACTGGAAAAGAAACTGGTTCATTGATCCTAAATAGATCTGAACCATTTAGATGTCAAATCAACAATCCCACTGCAGAATCCGTCTTTAGGGACACCAATGTGAGGAGACATTTTGTAACTTCTCCAAAAGCTTGGGATCGAACTGAAGCCGGGACATGTCTTGTTTTCTAATTAT